ACACACACACACACACACACACACACACACAGAGAGAGAGAGAGATAGCGACTAAAAAAGGCAGTAAGGCAATCTAAGCTTGTGAGAATAGAAACACTGAGGCTGTGTGTGTGTGGGGGCGGGGGGTAATCTGTAATCTGAGTGTGTATTTAGCGATAGCCTCACTGACTTCACCCACAATAGAAGGATTAGCCAAGAGTCTGCAAGAAAATATTACACAAACACACAGACATCCCACCTCACAGGAAACACACACACAGGAGAGGACTTGATGTAACAGGGCTTCTAATCCGGAGTTTACCAACCAGGTGTGCGTGTGCCCCAGAGGGTACTTAGAAACATTTCCATTTTACTTTGTTAAACATGTCTTCGTCGCCTGGAAGTCACAGGTTCTCATTAAAATGTGCACTAATGGCGGTGTAGTCGCTCGGGGGTGATATTTCATACTTGTTGAGCTCCGGCGGTTTTTAAATTGCACCATTCAAAGAGTGCAAATGACTTTACGTTTGTTAAATGTCCCATCTGGATTTCATTTTTAAATGAATTTGCAGTTAGGTCTTACTCTGAGAATATTTCTGTATGATTGCCCCCAGAAGTGTCACAACTGTGAAAGACAAACAAGCGCAGGTGTCTTATTAAAGAGTGAAGAAGTAGCTTAGTCAGTTGGCTTTTCACACAGTCTTGATTGTTATAAGTTAAGTAAATGATTAGTCAACTATTTGTATACTCTGAGTGATAATTCTACATGATATCTACAATACAAGTTAAAATTAATACAATTCAGAAATCATTCAACATAACACAAAAATAAAAAGTTATTTTTTCTTTATGCTGAAAAAGTTGGAATACTGCTGTAACAGAAATACTCAACATGCTCAAGATTTCCATTTATTTCAATCAACTTTTATTCAGCAAGAATACATTAAATTGCTCAAAAGTAGCAGTAAAGACTTTTACACTGTTACAAAATATTTCAAATAAATGCCTATAGTGTTTATTCTTACACTGACAAACCAAAATGTTGGTTTAATCATTTTATGGTTTTATCAGCTTAACATATTTACATGATAATTGGAATATGACCAAATTGTGATATTTCCTTGTTCAAATTCAAGCATTTCTCTTACTGTTGCTGTCTTTAAGTGCCTTCAATCTGCCTGTGGTACATGGAGTGTGCAAGTGTGCTCCCCTATCAACAATGAGTCCAATCTGAAGTTGACTCTCTCCTGACCTTCTTTTCTTAGACTTGAGCTCTGTATGCTGGAAACTGAACACAGCACAACATAGCAACTCTAAAATGCCCCAAGATGTGTCTGAGCAGTTCAAGGGAAGTGTTTACATCATCTGCAAGGTCTAAAGCAGATATAATTTTACTTGTCCCCATCCACCTAAGACATAAGCCAATTTTCATATGCGCCAGGTGCTCAAAACTGATCTGTGCTGTACTATAAGAAACTAATCAGTTCTGTGCCAACAGGTCGCATGGATTTTCATCCACACTGCACAGTTCACTTTCATACCTCTTTTGAAGTGTTTGGCTTCCTCATAACTAAGTAAAAAACTAGACATACAAGTTTGGAACAACATGAAGGGAAGTAAATGATGACAGAACTGCAATTTTTATGTGAACTATTCCTTTAGACATTCCTCACAGTCACGCAGACTACCTTACTGTATAAGTTCTAAGTTGTACGAACACTGTGAGTGAGATGAAAGTGAGATGAAATGGCACTACTCAACTGAACCGAATAGTGTGACGCAACCCACTGAAGAGTGCAGAGAAAATCTGTTTAATTTATGTTTTTTCAACTATGCAGTGCAGACCGATTCACTGGGTCGTGGAAGTAAAGGGAAGTTCTACAGAACGCTCTGTTTTTATAGGCAGGGCGTATTCAAGACTCGCATGTAAACGCCCACTGCTGTGATTGGCTAACAGTTCAGCTTATTAAAATAACAGATGGATGCTTCTGTGAAGTACTCTGAAAACAACATGGGTCATTTGTGTTAAAAACGTATAAATACTCTGGAACAAATGGTCTGGAACAGACACTGCAATAGTTGTAAAAGCACGTTTACTCACACTTGTCTGTTGCGACATTACAGACAACAGAACCCATTATAATCGGCAAAGAGGCGGTGATGTAGAAGCAGGTGTTTAACTTCTCCGGCGGAGGCAGTGCTTAGCCACACTATTACGTCATAAAGTGGCACATTCCAAAACGAGTCGTTTTCTGGTTTCAGGGTGTTTTTTATAGTACATTGACCTATTATATGTCAAAAGATCAAGGGAACTTTGATTTCTCAGTTCATTACCCCTTTTTTCAATGGTTTTCTTGCCTAGTAACATTTCATTTGTGAATTGTAATAAATTCAGTGTTTCTCTCAGTGCTTTCCTCCATCAATACCTTCCCTCCAGCTTTAGTTGTACTTATTTATCTTAGTAAATACCAGCTAATCTAATCTACTTTGAAGCAATTTTGTAATTAGCTGTCCGTCTTGAGTTCAGAAGGTAAATAGTAGAAAGCAGGGAAAACTAGGTGCCCTGAACCACACTGAAAAAAATATATATTTGAAGGTTTTAGCAGGTTACAGCTGGTCTTCCAGCTTTGCTAAGGCTGGTGTTAAGCTGGTTTAACTGGTCAACCATCTGGTCTCCCAACCAGACCAGCTAACAAGCCCTCAACATCCCTCTAAAACCCTCAGAATAGATTGGTATATAACTAGTTTGGCCAGGCTGGGAGCCAAGAAAACCAACTTAAGCTGTTTTAACTGACAATATCAACAAGTGCAAATTGTAAAAAAAATGGGAATTAATCACAAATCACAAAACTACTCACAACAATATGTGTGCATGACAAAGTTGTTTCATACCAGAAGGACAAGTATGGGAGAGACTAATGTCTGTCATTACACAAGGCCACATAAATGCCCATCATGTCATATTGAGTCTAATCTTTCACTCAGCAAATCCTGCCGGACCTGAGAAGAACCTGGTATTGGGCTGCTCAATTTTACAAACCCTGTACTACCCTACAGTACTTAAACAGACATTTGGTTGTCTAATTAAATTAGCATGCAAAGCTAGAGAGGAAAGATTAAAGTGTTCTATGAAGAGAAAGAAAATTTGTTATGAGACACGTTGCTCATGGCCAATTAAGGTAGTATACAAAATTAACAACCTGTATCACATTACAGCTGTGTTCCAATTTGATCAGACTTTTAACTTATGAGAGTTTGTTTCCTGTGAGCTAGTGAGGAAAGCCTGTCAGAGACAGAGACTATGTGTGTGTATAAAAAATTACAACACGTTTTTCTTGCTCCAGCAGGTCTGTCCTGTTGATCCAATGCTTCTCATTTCTGTTCTGATGTCCTCCTCAAAGAAATGTCCAGAAAGGTTTGGTAAATGAATAGGCTTATAGCAGTTTTAACTTCTCTTTTTAGCACTGAAAACTGGGAGATCTTGAAAACAGCATCAAAACAACATGTGGAATGCTTGTACTCAACATAAGTGAGATCCAAAGGACTGTAGCTGAAGTGTTTGGTCTGGACATACAACAAAATACTTTAAAACCCCATCAAGGGCATTCTGGAGCTAAACATGTAGTCATATTATACACAAGCCAATTTCCCAGAACAACTGAAATGAAATGTCTATTAATACAGGTCATAGAATACAGTCGTCTCTACTGAGAAAAAAAGATAAACCCACTCAGGGTCACCACAGCCTCCGATTCACCTGCAGCTAGAATGAATGGTGTGTCAGGAAAGGTTGAAAGAAAACAGAAGTGCCCTTACCCTGCCATTACAATGAAAAAGTCCAGTCTGTTCCAAGTATCGCCAAGATAACAGCAATGGCCAAAGATCCCCAGAGCCACCATCTTCACCACCATCTCCAGTGCAAAGAAAATATAGATAAATGCATCGAATGCCTAAAAGATAGAGAGGACACATGTGTAACACAGTGTATGTTTTAACAGAGCTGATACAATTTAAATCTAATGTTTTATGGCTTTGAGACTATCACTATAATGTGCTCGCAAAAATTGGCAAACACATCACAGATTCATCAAATCAGATGCTCTCTAGAATGAGAATGTCCCTCCCCCCAATACCACAGATTCTCAATATACTTTTTAAAGTTGTAAAGCCAAGTTGTTATCAATAATGATAAACAAAAAATTAATAATTTGAATAAAAATAAGAAATAATAAAATACTTTTTTGGAAAACAGATCCAGCATTAGATTAGGTCTTTCACTTGCTGGCTGATTGCAAAGGCTGGTATTTTTCAGGAAAAAATATGTTCAAAAAAGTCACTGATTGACAGATGTAACGATAGATAGAGCGACAGAACAACAGAAATATAGAAAGACAGACAGACAGACAGACAGACAGACAGACAGATAGACAGACAGATAGATAGATAGATAGATAGATAGATAGATAGATAGATAAACAA